ACCAAAATTCTATTCAGATTGCTCACGACTTGGTTTTTTATGAGCGAACTAAGCACATTGAGATCGATTGTCATCTTACTCGTCATCATCTCAAGCATGGCACCATTGCTTTGCCTTTTGTTCCTTCTTCCTTGCAGATTGCAGATTTCTTCATCAAGACACATTCCATCTCTTGTTTTCGTTTTCTAGTTGGTAAACTCTCGATGATTGTAGCTGTCACATCATGAGTTTGAGAGAAGATGTTAAATAATATTTATGTAGTCTTATTTATTAAGGGTAGAATAATACTTTCAGTTTAATCTATATATACTTTATTTGTATTTAAGTTAAGGTTGAGCATTCATAATATACAAATTATTCAAAATTTTAACCTTTTTTTGTATTTAATCTTAATTATTTTAACACTTCTTTTATTATTATTATTATTATTATTATTATCCCAGAGCCCTTCTCAATTAATTAATTGCATATAGGGAGGCCTCCTTAAATCCACTGCATGTATTCTCGTATCAAAGAAAATCCTACAAAACAACTTTTCTCCATAAGATGTGTCAAACCCATGATTGAAAAGAAAACTCTAAAGACAACTATGTTTTCGATTCTGCAAATCCACCGTCATTCTGCTGCCTTCATTTCCGTCTAATAAAGGAACAGCAACAACAACAAGAACGAAAGTTCTTTGTGTTCGGCGGCTTTGTCTGCACAAATTCTTCATTATAATCATAAGACCCCTTCAGAATCCATACACCTCCTTCACTTTCTCTGCCATTCCTTTCCGTTCTTCACTCAAATCGTCACATCAATTATGCGCATATAAAAGAAAAGTAAATGTTAAAATCTTTTGCTCTTTGTATTTTTTCCGCTGCACTCCATCAATCAGAACAGGAGAGAATCCCATCAGGTATGGAGATCTTTCCATCGCTAATCCTCGACCATCCCCATCTCATATCCATTTATTGAAACTGAAAATCTGATAAAATGATCTTTTCCTCTTTTTTCTTTTGTTGGAGTCAATGGAGAGTTGTTGCTTCTTTTCTTTTAGCAGAGTATATAGATGTCTGACATTTATATAGTAGCTCTGATATTGTTGAGGAGATGGTTTATTTTTATTTTGCCTTTTTCTTGCTTAATTTACAGCCAGCATGCTAGCGTTACAGTTGAAATGGTTTTTCCGTAGTATTACTTATCTTTTAATGAATCGCAGAATCGCTATATCATATACTAATACTACTTAGTTTCCTCCCCGAACAGGATAGCCAAAATAAACTTAGAAGCCTCCATGATGAGGTTGCACGATTGAGACAAAACGTCCCCCAGGATCCCAGGATGCAAGAAAAGAAAAAACTCATGGAAGAGCTTTTGAGGTTAGAAAACGAAAACAAGCTGCTAGAACTGCAAAATCAAGCGTATTGCATGATGATACAAAATGACGGGGACCCTAGAGGGGATGAAGCTGATCAAGGTTCTTAACGTATCCATTTACCAGTTTAACTAACGATATCTTATATTATAATTTGTCTTAACAAGGTGGCTAATTGTGCTGGGGTGCCATTGCAGCATCGCCTGCAGGGTTGCTGTGATTATATTGCTGAGTAGTGCATTAAGTTAGGCTCCTCTACTAAATCATGACTTCTCAAGCTTTTCATCACGTTTGAACCCTTTGAGAGGGAGATGGATCTACTGCGGCAGAACAATCATATATCTCCTGTGCTGTGTTCGTGTCTGGTTTAATTTACTATGCTATCGGAATAAATGCCAGCGCCTCATTTAATTCGTTTGGCTTGTCTACCTTAGTTATGCACTTGTAGCTACTGTCTCTTGAATCACTATACTGGAAACTCGTCGAAAATACCCAACACTGATGTCTGCCTTGTGATGTTCAATGACAAGAGGATTATACCTGGTTTATCAACCAACCTAGAAGATTAGGTATTCGGTCTCCTCTATTTTTCAACTTTACCTCAATCGATCACCCTGCAAAATGGTTTTTCATCCATTTTCGAGGAAAACTGACCGTTAATGTTAAAGGCCATTAAGCTGCAGCTTCAAAGGGAGAACAACAATATTTTGTTTATCCTACAAAAATCATAAGGCACTTCTAAATATCAAACTATATGATTAGTGATGGGAAAAAATACGTATGAAACCGCAGTGAACAAGGTTTATCTATGAACTGTTAGAGAGAAATAATCATTTAAGCCTCTTTTTAAAACTCCAAACTGATGTCCTATAATTATGCAAATATTGGTTTTCATAAGGAAAAAAAAAAACCATCTTGAAAGAGGATCAAGGTAAAGTTAAAACATAAAGGGATGGTTGATAGAAAAATTAGTTTTAGTTAATTGATAAATTAGGTATAGTTGCGGGGTGGAGCAAATTAAGATTAGCTCTTTCCGACCTTAATTTGCTCTTTTCGACTTTTTGTTATCATTCTTTAAGTGAAAAGCTTTAATCTCCTAGCTAGAGCTAGCTTCCTTTTGCTAAACAAATCGAAACTACATAAGCTGAGAAACATATGCGTTAATGTAAGGCAAAATTAATCTAGCTCTTCTACGATTTCACTTTTCTTTTATTTTCAAGAATTACATTTCACGTATTGAATTAATGCAAGATTTAAATTTAGATGAAAATACAAAAATGTCATTTTGTATAATATAACTCAATAATCTAAATCACAAATTAAATCAAGTTTATTAAACCAAGTTGCCTCCACCACCTATAAGAAAAATATTTATTATTAACTCTGATGGGTGTAACTTAGATAGTTAAGTTCTAAGTTTATTTTTTTGAAATTAGCAGTTCAAGTCTCATAAACATTAAAGTCACTTAAAGTTTATATGATTGTTAACTTTAAGGTTCATGAATAAAGTTCTAAGTTTATTTTCTTGAAATTAGCAGTTCAAGTCTCGTAAACATTAAAGTCACTTAAAATTTATATGATTGTTAACTTTAAGGTTCATGGAATTAGTCGAGATACGCATAAGCTAACTCGTACACCTGCATTAATCTAAAAAAAATACTTGTCATTTGAGGGATAGCTCAACTAGTCAGATCTTGAATTTACTCTTCAATAGTTATGAGTTCGAGTCTTCTTAAGGCCACTAAAGATTTATATAGTTATTTATTTTAGGTCCTGTGAGATTAATCAAGATATACATAAGTTGATCTGAACACCCACATTAATAAAAAAACTTATCATTTCCATTTATCTTCAATCAAAATTCAATTTATCTATTAACAATTAATTAATTAGTTTGTATGGGCTATGGACCAAGAGGCAATTTGTTTCGTGTGTAATAAAAATAATGTTTAAATGCCACAAATATATTTTTAAAAAATTCATAACTCGAGTTATGAATTTAACTAGATGAAATAAGTTTGTTTTATTTTAACTAGATATTTAAAACAATAAACACCGATAACAAATTAATCAAATAATAATAATACTAATAATAACATTGGAAAAAAATTTAAAAAGAAAAAATAATATAACTTAATTTTTAATCTATATTTGCATAAAAACCTTATAACTTGAATATTAAAAATCAAGATAAATTCATGATTTAAATCATGACATTAAAATAACTTAAATAAAAAAAAATTCATAATGTGGTGTCTCATGATAGCTTTTGCAAGGCCAATAATTAGGTTACAATGTTGGAGACAGATTATTGGGCTCAAAGACCATGAATACTTGTGAACAAGTTGGGCTAGAGCTCTTTCAATGTTTAAATCAGTTAATTTGTACGAGAAATATACCCTTAAATATAAGTAATTTTGTTTGTCACTTGGGTTTGATCCTTAGTAACGATCTCTGTTTTTATGTTTTTTATTTTTCTAGTTTCTCTACCTTCGCATCTTTATAAGTTTTATTCAAAATTGTATTTTCCCCTTAGCTCACCATAAATTAAAAACGCTAATTTTCATTTTTTTCCAATTTCCCCCTCAAATTAGACCAATCAAAACTAATTTTTTTATAGATTATTTTAAGAATATATTTTGGCATCGACTTGATTTATTTTTTTAAAAATCAATAAAAATAAATTTAAGAACATGAAAGGTAAAACTGTACCAGAGAATATAAGAAGCGCTAATAATATGGAGTGATTAGCAAGTAAAGTAAGAACAAGGACGAGTTGGTGGATGGAGCGACCGACCTAGAAACAGCTCTCCTCTGTGGGTGTGAAGGCAACCTTAGCCAGATGGTTCCTTCTTGAAGGAAAGGCAACCCCATCCAAGGCACGCGTTGTGCAGGTTCACCACCTGACAACCCTCCCTCCAATTCGTGGCGCCACCTTGAAATCAAATCCCGACACGTCAGCACTCACCGAACATTCCCAGTTTGCGCATTTAAACAAGAATTTCAGGTGTGAATTTTATTCACAAAAGATAAGATAGAATATGCAGCCAGCCACCCACCTTACCATTTCAAATCATGTAATTCATGATTGCCGGTCCCTAATTTGGTGGCTGCTGGAAAGTTGCTTGGAGCCGTGTCCTTTTCCGGCCTGGATATGGCTCGCATCCTGTCACAGAAAAATATCCATCTAGCCCGTAGTATTTGCATTTTTAATTCAATTCACTCTCCGTTATTAACAACATTTTTTTGATATATTATAAAAAATATAATGTAAATTCGTAACATTATAAATAATTTTTTAACTAATCATATATTAATAATTATTCTATGAAATCAAGTCTGATTTTACAGGTTTTTAATTTATATTTACATATTAAATACATATTAACTTTGTTTTTATTATGATTTAATAATAATGATTATATTGTTTTATTATTTTTAAGCAAGATCACATACTTTTCACAGAATTTTCGTCTTCTCTGTGGCAAACCACGAACTTTGTGAGAAGTTATAACACTAATGTTATTTTATTCTTTTACTCCTAATTAAGCCTTTTATTTTATTAAAAATAAAAACTCTATCTTTTAACCAATCACAAGACACCAACGAATTACTTAGTTGCGAAGGAGTAAATATTATTACTCTAGAATCTTTATTATTTAGGAAATTTTATAGTTTGTTTAGAAATATAATTATAATTATTTTTAAATAATTATTTGTATTAAAATATATGTTAATAATATTTTTTATTTTTTAAAAATTATTTTCATATCGATATATCAAAATGATTAAAAAATATTAAAAATATATTTGTTTAAAAAATAAAAAAAATAAATTTTTGAAGTTTTTCAAAAAATATTTTAAAATGCAGAAACAAAGTCTCTCACTCAAACTAAAAAATCTTCTTTACAATGAAAAAAAAAAGATTTAATCACTCCCAAACACTTTATATTAAAATATAAATAAAGGAGAAATCAAATCATCGCAGGCAAATAGAAAGGAAAAGGTAAAATGAATCAGTATGTTTTTTTTGTTTGTGTCTGTTTACAATCACGGTAAAACCAAGGATGTGAGGTGGTGCAGTGATAAACGTCCCACGTGGACAAACCAATGAAACGAAGATGTCGTCTGTCCCCCACCATTTAAAACTTCCGGGTGCGTTAGAATAAGACTATACGTAACGATTATAGGATAGAATCGCAAGAACAGAAACCTTTTTTTATTATTTATTTTTCTCTTAATTTTTGTTTTTTTTTAAAAAAGAAAAATCGTAAAAAATGAGCCAACTGGAAATGAGAGATAAAATAAAAATGGGGGCCACCACCACCTTGTGATAGGAAAATAGGTATTTTCTTGGTAAGCAGGAGAAATAAAAGGAGGACAGAGGAGGATATTATTAGGTATTTGGTGGCAGTGAACGAGCGAGGGTGCGCCTGTAGTTTTTCTTGTGCAAAAGTTTTGTGTTTCTCACTCCAGAGAAATAAACTAATATTTAGAGAGAGAAATAGAAGCTCTGGATTCCTTCTCATCCGTCCTCAGCGACGGTTCTTATGCCGCTTGGCTTTCAGGTTTTCACCTCTCTCTCTCTCTCTGTCTCGATTTCTTTCTTCTTTTTGTGTTTTTGTTGTTCGATTTGGATTGGATCTGATCAGATCGAGTCAGATCTATTGTTGGTTTGAATCAGGGTTTCTGATTAGAGATTTGTGATTTCTTTAAAGAATTTTAAAGTATTAAAGATTTGATTTTAAGATGTTTGGGGATTTTGATTCTAGCTGATCAATTAGGTTTTATTTTTTGATAAATCAGTGTGCTGGCTAGGTTAAACTGGCATGCTATTTAACTTTCTTGATTATGATTTTTGACTCTAGGAATGTTGAATGATGCACGTGATCTATTGAATTTATACATATTGTTTTGCTGTTAGCACTTTATGTAATGCGAATCCATTGAGCTTTTATTGATCTGGGCTATAGTTATTTGTGTTTTGAATTGATTGAGACGAAAAGGAAGGAATCTTACTCTCTCTTTTATTCACTTTAAATAAAGAAGAAAGGAATATAAGACGAAATAATTCTTAGCTTAGAGCATGTTCAATGCGAAATGCTTCTTGTCTCAAGATAAATCCAACATATACGTTGATGTCAGTCCATTTGATTTGTCCGTGGTGGTTATATATGTGCATAAAACATGTTATACATGTTTCATTTTTCTTCTTGGAGTTGTAAATTGCTGTTACTGATGAAATTGGATGGTTTCACTATTTTTACTTACAGGTAGTATTCTATTCTTTTAGGTTCTGCTGGGTTCAGATTTAGACAGCTTAGTTTCCTTCCTTAAGACATGGAGAAAGCGTGCTTCTGGTCAAATTGCTTCCAGCATCGGGTTTTTTCATTCCAAGAAGTGCTCGATTGGCGGTTTCTCATCCTTGGAGATTTTCTGTTGGTTTCCTTTGTCAATTGCACTTAGTGGTTGCTTTCTTTTTAATGAACAATATAGAGGCGTGATGCAAAATTTTTCTGAGAGAGGTGTTGGATCTTTGGTGCACTTGGTCAAGTAAGCAACCCATACATGTCCTTTGACCAATGCCTTATTCTAGGTTTTGTCTAACAGATTCTTTCATTTGCAGTGCATTGCTGATACAACATCCAGTTGGAGTTCTTGGCACGCCTTCTGGGGTATATCTTCTTTTTTGTTTGCTTGCTTGCTAAGTTTATCTACTCTGCTTCATTGCTCTAATCTCTCTGGCATTTTTGCAGGGCTAAAGTCTGCGACGATTCTGTTGAAAGCTGCTTAAGTAGTCAATTTAGATAAAACCATCACGTCAAGTTGGTGCAGAATGTACAGTTCTTAGCTACATTTCTTTGTTGCGCCTGATGGGTACTTGTTAGATTGTGGAGTTATCGGTTCACCGAACGATTTCTACATAACATAGATGAGTTAGCTTATTTTGCGTTTGAACCCTTGGGTGACTGTCTTAAGCTTAGTGGGATTGTCCTGTTGGCTAGAACAATCATTCTGGTTGGTTCTGAGTTTTGTCAATATGCTTTGTGGTTTTCTTATGGATCTTCCATCCATGACTTCATATTGCCTCGAAGCTGTGGTTCTATCAATGAATAAGGCCAGGAAGCTCGTTCATCCTAAACATTCTTGTTTTGTGTGCTCAGTTTTCTCCACATAAAATTAGCTGGTCCACCAAGGCAGCTTGTTCAAATTTTACAGTTTCTATTAGATTGTCTACCATAAATGTCAAATAGCCTTACTAAGTGTCATACTATCTGCAAATAAAGAAAGAGCTTTTTTTTGTTCCACAAGAAATATGGAAAGGTATGTTATTTTCCTGTGACTTCTACCTTAACCAGTGCTGATTGTCAATCCCCGAGTAACCTTTTTGGGAACCTCATGTAGGTACAAGTTAATCAAGGAAGTTGGTGATGGAACATTTGGGAGTGTGTGGAGAGCAATTAATAAGCAATCTGGTGAAGTTGTAAGTGCATTGTTACTTTCCGTTCCAGCTAATCTGGTATTTGTTAGCTGGTATTAGTATTGCTCCTGAAAAGCTAAGGATTGTCCTGATTTAACTGAATCTCGTGTTCTTGCTAACAACTAACAGGTGGCAATTAAAAAGATGAAGAAGAAATATTACTCATGGGAAGAGTGTGTGAATTTGAGAGAAGTGAAGGTAGTATGATGAACTTTTTTCTTCTTTTTTGTTTTGAGCTTTGCTATTTGTCTTTCATCAATTAATGGGCTGTCTCCTTGTGTCAGTCACTGCGGAAAATGAATCATCTGAATATTGTGAAGCTCAAAGAAGTAATCCGGGAAAATGACATTTTATATTTTGTTTTTGAGTACATGGTAATTTTTTTTTAATTTTTTTTTTAATTTTGGGATTTCTTGCTTTTTTTATAAATCCACTTTTTGCATACTTTTTATCATTTTGTTTTGTTTCAGGAATGCAACCTTTATCAACTTATTAAAGACAGGGAAAAGCTATTTTCAGAAGCTGAAGTGAGGAATTGGTGTTTTCAAGTATTTCAAGGTCTTGCTTACATGCACCAGCGGGGGTATTTTCATCGTGACCTTAAGCCAGGTAACTGTTATTGGTCAAGATTCTGCTTTTGCTTCAGGAGTTTTCATGGCAAGTTGGTGACTGGATGTTTTAACAGCTTAACATACTTCTTTAACTGATTGTGTTTATTCTTGTGGTCTGCTCTTAATGCTTCTAGTTTTTGTAATCCATGTCTGAGTATTGTTTGTTTGACCTTTTGACAGAGAATTTGTTGGTCTCAAAATCCATAATTAAAATTGCTGATTTTGGTCTTGCACGAGAAGTCAATTCACTCCCCCCATTTACGGAGTATGTCTCCACACGGTGGTATGTCATCTTTTGCCTTCATATTTTTTTTCTTGAAATGGATGGCAGATGTCCACTGCTGTTTCTCACTGTCTTCTGTCTCAAAATTCTAGGTATAGAGCACCTGAAGTGTTGCTTCAGTCATACCTGTACAGTTCTAAAGTTGGTTAGTATCGGACAAACATGAGATTATGTTCTAACCATTAATTAATGATCACAAACGACCTTACATAATGTTTACTAGAACTAATATATATATCTTCCACAGATATGTGGGCAATGGGTGCCATCATGGCTGAGTTATTCACCCTTCGACCGCTTTTTCCTGGTACCAGGTATGGATCTGAATTAAATAATAGCTGACAATAATTTAGTTCATAACGGGCTAGTCAGTTTCTGGTGTTTAAACTTTTCTCGTTTATGGACAGTGAAGCAGATGAGATCTACAAAATATGCAGTGTGATAGGCAGTCCAACAACTGACACTTGGGCTGATGGGCTTAATCTTGCAAGGGCTATTAACTACCAATTTCCACAGGTCAAATTTTCTTATTTTTCTCTTCTTTCAGCAGTAGATACTTTTGCCTTGGGGTTTGTGGGTCCAATGAGACAAGAAATCTATTGTTTTCTAAATGATAGAATGATGGCCTTTGTAATGTGCAATTGTGAATTTTGCTAATATTTGTTACTATCATTCAATTTGTTACTATCATTCAAACATGGTGAATATACCATCTATTGCTTGGACATGATTCTTGGAATAGTATTAATATTTGAAACCATCCATGTCAATTTATGAATTAACCATATATGATGCAAGATTAGGAGTCTGAAATTTTGATTGTATAATTTGAGACTGCAGTTTGCTGGTGTTCACCTTCCCACACTTATCCCATCAGTAAGCGAGGATGCAATCAACCTTATCAAGGTTGGTAATATATGTAGAGACTATGGTTCCTTTCTCTGATTTTTCTTTTCTTTTCTTTTCTTTTTTCCCCTTGCAAGCAAGCACTATATTTTCTAAAAATAATGTTGGATTAGAAAATTATTCTTAATGACCCTTCTTTACCCGTCCTTTCTTATTTGTTCCTTTCTCTTTTGAATCTAGTCGCTTTGCTCCTGGGATCCTTGCGCGAGGCCATCAGCTGCAGATGCTCTACAACATCCCTTCTTTCAGGTAGCCTCTTTTGTGTCTTTATAGCTTGAAACAGGATTGCCATGTATGTGTGTGCATGTGCATGTGCTATTTATGTTAGTGATTTGCACAATTGTTGTTTCAATCACCAAATTCGTTGGGCTATAATTTGTTTTGGCAGAGTTGTTTCTATGTTCCTCCATCCCTGCGCCCCAGAGCAGCCATCACAAGAACACCTACATCTGGTTTGTCTTTTATCTTGCATTGTTGTTGGTTTCATGAAGATGACTGCCAAAAGCATTTCCAAGAGTTCTTCACTTCAAGAATCTTACGTGAACATAATTATTCACTTGCATGCAGCTGGAACAAAGGGAGGATTGGAGCAACAATGTGCGAGGAGTTTACCAGGGGCTTTGTCCAATTCTAAGCTTACTAACAGTTTTCCTTCTCCAAAGTTACATGCTTCTTTGAGTACAGGTTATATTTTTTCTAAAAAAATTCAACTACAGTTCTCCGTGATAAACATTAAGATAATATGGTTTAGATAATTGTGTGCATGGTTTCATTGCAATGTTAATTTACATGAAGTTCAAAGCAAACCTTGCATTGTTTGCCAAGTCTTGACTGCATTTGTAGCTATATGCTAACATAAAGATGTTTTTTTTCTTTTTTATCCCTCTGGCAGGGGTACAACGCAAGCTGGATATGGTTAACCAGGTATGCATCTGTTTGAGGGACCCCATGGACTGCATATCTTTTCCGTTGTCATCTGCATGGTCTATTATCTTTTGTTTTCGGATGTATTGGTGCTCAAATGTTATCTGATTTGGATATTGTGTACTGGTAGCCTTGCACTTCCTGTTTGTTGTATATATTTGGATCATCTTTCTTTGTTTTTTTCTTTCTTTCTCATAATTATAGTCAAGTCTCCATTGAATTTGACAAAATTGATCGTGAACTATTAAGACTACCTTTGGACTTGACCAATTAGATTTCTGTTCGTCCATGAATTGCAAGTGCTTTTAACCATCTGCTTAGATAATTGAGCTGTGGGGATTCCTGATAATGAGTTTGTAGCTCAATGGGGTCTCAAGTTCTGAGGACCACATGCATTGTATCTTCTGAGTATTCGGAACTCATGGTTGAATAAATTCAATGTCTTTTATCCTTGGACAGAATTGCATTATATCTTCTGTAGTATTGATTTGGATTTGCTTCATTTACTGGCAGGATTCACGTAAGCCTGACAAGTCCTTGAAGAGCTCTACAAAACCAAGATATCAACCACCAGGGAGGAAAAGCCCAAGTAATTCTCTTACTGTAATCATTGGATGAGTTAGGACCTGGCCAAATATAGAATATTGGGAATCCCATTTGATAATCGAGTAAATATAGAATAGACAACCTTGTATGAATTGTCCTTCTAGATTTTTTGTAAACCAGGCTAATGTTCGGTTAACAAATATGTACATCTCAAAAATTAAATTGAAGCTATGTTGGTTGGCAGCATTTATGAGCAAAGGGAGAGTTGCACGTGGAGTATCAGAAACAGCTGATAAGCTTGCAAGCATGACAATTGCCTCTCGTCGGCAGTCTCTGGGACAGCCCAAGCCACCTCCTATGAAGGCTGGAGTACAGTGGACTGGAGAATCTGGTGGGATGTTTCTTAGGCCAACCCAACAGTTCCAACATGGCAGAAACTATCCAAGGAAGGTTGTGGGATGAAAAGGAAAGGCTCTTTTCAGAGATTATACTGTTATTTCGTGATATGCTATTAAGAAAGTTCATAGTTATATGAGTGATATATATATTGTGGTGCGTGTCTCCAAGCAAAACCTACCTGCATAAGAGGGGTGCTGCTCATGTTGTGTTCTGACCTTCGTTTGTTTGCCGTTATTTTGATGACACGTATTGACATTGATACTATTATTAATAAATAAATGGCGTCTTCGCCTGTATGAGGAATGAGTTTGATTTGTTAATGAAATTTGCTTTGAGATATGCTTCCGTCTATCTTTTGCCAAGCAATTTCTCGTGGTCTTGGGTGTTTCCTCCCGCACCTTTTGCGTTCAGCTGGCAACGCCTGGCAGGATGAGGAGGGAGCTTGCTAGGTGCTGTTGTGCTGTCGGGGATGGTTAGCGTTTGACCGATTTGGTTTACGAGGAAGTATCTGCATTCTATAAAGCAGATGGGGGCAAGAACCGGGCCTCCTCGCTGATCGATATTTCAGATCGTGATTTCTTAAGAGCAATACAAGGAATACGATAAAAATTGTGTCCGAATCTAGATTATAGTTTAGCCTTCTCAACCCAGGTAGGTCTTTTCTTTCCAAGTTTACATAAATGTAGGCTCTGATTTCAAATATGTTAGGATTGGAGATCTTTCTGGTAGGTTTGTGGTACGGTACCTTAAGTTTATTTTGGGAAAAGATTCAGACACAATGGTATCAAGCCAAATGGCAAGAGGAAGCCTGGAGATCAGAATATGGTTGCTCGCTGTAACAAGATGCTCTGATAAGACGGCAGATAGGAATTCCGTTTGATCAAATACTCCGGTGAGGTGCATTGCAAGAGTTATAAAAAAAAACAAATCACTTGGTTAAGGTTTCTAGGTCTCCCTAGCAGGAGAGCAAGAAGATCCAGATCCTTCTTTATGGATAATAATTTCAATTTACGCACAAGGATTAGCTGGTTCACTAAAATGGACCAAACGTCCGTACATAAGTTTGTTCAGCTAAAGGTATGTTTAAGCATACAGCTAGCGAGAGAGTACAAGGCCTGAAGGTTAGTCTCTAATTTAATTAACCCCTTTACAAGCCAAGCCAAGCCAGAATTATTGTTGTCGAAATAATAAGCTCCATCCCAGAACCTCCAGCACACTTCTCATTTGCATTCAGGCTACTAATTTTTTATTGTAAACCTGTAATTATTCGCCACCTGACGGCCTGGATTTAAACCCACAAATTACCGTCCGTACATATTAGTAGCATAGCGTGTTTCAAAAATATTTTAAAAAATAATTTGAATTTATTTTTTTATGTTTTCTATAATTTTGCTGATAAGAAAAGAATATTTAAAAAATCTTGGAGAGTACTAGAGCTGCCAGCTTTCTTGCCTAAGCAATCTTCTTACATGCGCGGTGCACGCCCTTGGAAACGTGGGACCGTAACGACGGCTACTCTTGTAACAGCAACAAATGATCACATCCATGTCAAGGATGAACTTGTCAAATATGCACTCTTTATAACAATAAATGATATCATTCAATTCCTTTCTTTATAAAAACAGTGTGTTGCAGAGGACAAGCTCTGATAATAAGTAAATTACGAGCCAAACAACCCCAGAAAAGCATGAAGACTAATACATGTCTTCGGGAGGGAAAAACCAGAGGCCCTAAAAAAATAGTTGTAATAAAATTGTGACCGGGACAAACAATAGAGACAAAAATTGGACACGTTAGGACATTCCAGGGGAAATATACCATCACGAAAAATGGATTCATCACCACAAGTGATGGTAAGACATAATTCGGCCCTTAGAATGAAGAAATACCGTCAGTTCAGTGGTGTGACCATCCAAGGTGGTGGCAAGTCCATTTTCTGTAGAGACCTTGAAAAACGAAACTGAATGGGTTTTGTTTTGCTTTTGGGGGGGAAGGATATCCAGCTGCACCATCAATCCTTTACTAGACAGCAATTTGGGTGGTGGGAAACCATGCTTTATAGGTACTGAGCTTGTATTCTTTCTCTATTCTGTTCCCACCATGTCTTCGCGTGCACTTCTCCGAATTGTTCGCGGCTGTGAACATCAGAAACAAAGACAGGATGTCAATGGAATATAGACGTTATATATGGTAGTCATCAAACTTGATTCAGATGAAGACAATATCATAACACCAACCTAAAACGAAAACCAGAAAAAACACTTTTCTTACAAACACAAAAACCAAACCATTTTTAAATTCTTATCTTTCATGTTGTATTTGCATCAGGTGCTAATGAAGGGACGGCTCAAAGAAAACATCAGAACTTTAAAATAAGTTTTCCTTCAATAGTTTCTGCCACCAAAAAAGATGCAACTTGAAATGTGAATAAATAAGGATTTCCATTACCTGAATCTGACACGCCTGAGCTCCCTAGTGCCATCGGCTAATTGTCTGATTGTGATGTAAACCCCTGGCTCATCTTGCTCAACCCATTCTGTCTCCAGGTCACTGGCATTGCTAACTGAAATAGAAGGCTCATCTCTAGATGATGTAGTTGTCCGTGATGCCTCTAAAGAAGATGCCTCGAATCTTGGCCCCCCCATACCATAGCTACTTGAACCAGCGTGGTAGTGATGGCTGCCACCTTGGTCCATAGTATCAGATGGGAAATAACCTTTACTTCCAGCAGGTTTATAGTAGTTTCTTGGGGTAAAAGATGGAGCCATAGGGCTTTCCCTTGCAGATTCCATCCTTGAGTAGGAGGAATCTCTTTGCTGATTAAGAAAAAATTATTGGTCAGTAATTTTTTTAAGATGCTGAGATTTTTTTTTCCTATAATATGACGAGGAACTTCAATACATAGTAGTTATGTGAAAAATCAAAAGAAGATATTTTTTTATTTTTTTTAAAAAAAAAAAGAGAGGAAAAGGAGAAGGGGAAAGCATGAAAAAGGCAATTGTTACAAAAATGTCTCCAAAAACCATCTTTTCATAGTAAGGTTTTGGGATGCCATTTATATCCCAATGTCTTGTCAGCTAGAAATGAGACTGGTTACAAACAAGGGCACTAGAATCCCTTGGTTCACATGCTAGAAGCTCATGGATATATATTTTTTTTTTATCCCCATAGTGCTTTAAAATGGTTGGGGCTTAAAAATGATTACGTTCATGGTCAAGGAAGCTGGAAATGGAAATGTATTGCAACTCAACTCATCGATCCACTATTTCTAGAGGATTTTTTAAGCGGCAAATTAAGATAGAAGAGATTTACCTCATCCTCACACCTCGGGGGAGTGTGAAGAGCTTGACGATTAAATCTCTGGACATTATAGAGCTCCGTGATTCTGTCATAGTTCTCACCCCACCATAGCTGAGCTTGCCACTTATTAAACATCTCTCGGCTTCAAAACCCAAATGCCTGAGTAATGTCAGTTTGTGCTTATACTAGCCAAACAGAAATAATCTATCTATTCTTTTTTTAGTTCATTTATCTGTTTGGATTTGAACTAATATATGCTACTAGAAGTATAGGCTCAAGACAGTATGTTAAGGATAGCTGATGCACACCTGAAGCGAATACGCTTTAGATCATTTCCCCCATTAGGGAGAGACACGAAAGTAATGTGAACACCTGGCTCCACCTGTGCCATCCATTCCTTGGGCTCATCCTCATCCTCCAGCACCACATCACAAGACTCTGCTCCTCCAGGGGTCCGGTCTCCACCATACAATGTAGAAAACCTAGATTCAGCTCTAGTACCTCGATTGTGTTTGGGAGTAGTAAAGTCCCAGGCTGGGGTTGAGCTTGAGCTTCCACCTCCAAAATAGGGGTATGGAACCCCTTCTGAAGCTGCATCAAAGTCAGGGTAAGGTCGCTGTCCTTTCTTGTAGCTGCTGGGACTTGTGCAGGGCTTGCATTGCTTGTAAGCACCAGACATTTTCAGTGCCATGTCCTTGATCTGTACATCATTGAAATACTTGGTTGATTGGAATTGCAAAAGAGTTATGATATATCATTCATTAAAAAACTGAAATATTTGGAAGTCGCACAATTAAGTTTACAGTACAGACAAAAAAATTGTAAAAGAAGAAAGCTCGAGGGAGGTCGTGAAAAGGATGTGCAACTTCAATTTCATTTTATTTTTTCATATGTTTGCTGCACATAGATACAAACTCAACATAACTCAGGTTGCTTTCTTTAGACTGTCATAAAATGCTGGAAAATCATGCAGCTTCATATCAACTCTAATACATATTACTGGAAAGGAAAGGAATTGGACTTTTAATCTAATGAAGTGATGCATGGTCATTTGGCAAAGGATCAAGTTGATGCTTGTTAAAAAAGAACAGAATGAAATCAGATGCATCAAAGGGTTTGAATCCAATCATGCCAGCAATTAATTGGCAATTTCATCAAAGAAGTAAAGAAATCCTAAGGTTCTGCTGTTCCTCAAAAATGTCTGATGCCTGAATATAAATGGCAGCAGAAATATTTCAGCCTACTTAACACGATTAAGGAGGCTAATGCGTAAATGCTTCACATTTACACACGGTTACAAATATTTATGCGCCTGTTGGTTGGAATTGATTTCATATTCAACAGAGCAGATTTGATGGTGCCTCACTGATTTGTAAATTTTTGCAACCTATGGAGTCCAGACAACTATTAAGAGTAATTTGCAAGCAAGACTACAAATATTTCTCATTTGAATAAAGGCACCCCTTGTTCCAGAATGAAGTAATGGCCTGTCACAGAAGATGACTGCAAAGTTTAGACTGAATCATCGCATTGGGTGAATAAACATTAACTAGCTGTGCTTTTGAAAGGTAGAGACAAGGGCACAAGGTGAAACATGAGAATTTTTCTTCAAAAAACAATTGCAGCGGTGAATACTGCAAGGTGACCAGAGTCAACAAATCGCTATGTACTTTTCTGCTGCAAACTATTAGACGCCAGCCTCGTTTCACTGCTCATTAGCAGAGCAGGCAGATTCTTCCTTTAACCATGCTACTATATGATATATTGAGCTTTCGATGCATAGTGGAAGGACAAGAATTCAATGGTGGGTCAGATCAAGGACAATTAAGTGTCTTTTCTTAAATATCACGAGTCCTTTCCTAAAGATCCCACTGTTGCTCACTGTGGAAATATGGGGTCCTTCAATTACATATTCTATGACAACAAACTTGGCCAGCATAATGTTACGAGAGTTTTCCAAAATTTATATTTATTTGTTATCACGAGCATTTCAGGGTTTTTCTTTCTTCTTTTTTTTTTTTAAAAAAAAAAAGAAATTGGAAGTGGGTTACCACTGCAAATCTATATAAGTAACAGTAGCAGTAAGAGATCATGCATGGAATAACATGATAAATTCAAAAAGAAAAGGAAGGGGCAAAAAAGACAGGAGAATGAAGGGTGTTGTGTATCATCCAGTCAGCAAGCAATAGGCAACCACGCGGGGCCAAATAAAGAAGACCGCCCAATATATCAGTAGGCCGTACACACAAAAACTACCTTGTCAGCCTAGCCAGGTAAAATATATTATAATTTACTATTGCCTAAATTTGGTTAGCAAGAGGAGACCATGGACAGACATGTGAAAGATGCCAAGAGAAGTGAAGGGATGGGGCCGTGTCCTCCCAACTTGGACCCCCCGCTTCATCAATGCCATCTTACAACTTTGTTTCTTCGCTTAAATGAGCATAAATTCTAACACTCAGACAGCGTTCATGTCTCTTTCTCTGGGTGCATATATAAATGTATAGAGCTTCTTTTTAGATCTTTAAGTATTATATTTTTATATATATAGAGAGAGAGAGAGAGAGGAATTTGAGAGGGTAAAATGAGAGAAGGATTTCAGCTAAAAAAAAGGAATTTACGAATACTGAAATTACGAAAGTAACATTAGAAGATTTTAAATTGGAGGAACGGAGGAAAGAAATTGGAGAGCATACAAGGATAAAAATGAAATTTAGCCTGGTAATAATAATAATAATAAGGGATAGAAGTAAAGTGGGACCTGTGAAGTGAGGCTCTTGACGGCTTCTTTTGTACTTGGGGTACCACTTCCACGCGCTCCTCCTTCTTCTCCTCGTCCATCCTCTGCCACCGGCTTGGTACACGCTATGCACGTAAACATTTTCTCTTCTTCTCCTTCTTCTTATCCCTGCAAAAGACATTATTACACCCTTGTTATTGTGCTGACAATTATTTCTATGCTTGTCTCCTTTGGTTTTTTTGCTTTATTACTGTTTTCAGAAACAATGATGGCAATGAGATTTGGTCATCCAATCAATTTTTATTCAATCCCTCACAGAAAAAAATTAAAAGCTGATAATCTGAGCTGATTAATGCTAGTACGTATGAACCATACCCAAGGCATGGCATGGTTTTTAACGATTTAATTAGGAGCTTCCACCTTGAAATTGAATAGAAAAAATCCAACTAGTAAGTCGCAAGGAGGTATCTATTCTATTATGCTCTCCAAGAGTCAGATTACCATCACAACCATGAAGGGTAGATGTGGACAAATTGATCGGACAATAGAACATTCTTATCTCTATTTGATGATGCGTTTGCCTTCTATGGGCCCTAACTTCTTACCCTGGTGCGTTACTCCAATGTGTTTCTATTTGTTTGAAGGGACGCAGATAGAAAAGCACAATCGATGCCCAGAGAGAGAGAGAGAGAGCCCATTCCAATAAAAAGGAATTAGATGCCCAAAAAACCAAAGGGAATAAAGACAAAGCAATCGTTGTCCAGAAACAAATGATGGAAACTTAATCCAAATGAACTGGACCATTATAAGCAAGAATCTAAAGATATGATTTTTGTCCTCGAATTTCAAGGGAAAATGGGGCGTTTTTGGGGAAGGACAAAAGGGCTAAAGAATAAAGAGAAGCTCGGGATCGGAGAAGTAGAAAGAAAATGGAGGGATAAAATAGTGAGTCAATAATGAAAAGTGAAAACAAAATGGGGACATAGCCCCATTTGAAAGTGGTCTAATTAGATAGACCGTGATGTTCATGCTTTAATCTACAAACCCAATAAAGAATCAAAATTGTGTATGCCGAAGTTTCTGACAAACCCTTTAAAAAAGACAGTCCATTGAATCATATATATATATATAGGAGCTACCCCTACCATTCGATAATAATCCATGAAGGAAGAAAAAACACCAAAGAAATGAAGTGTCCTGTGCAGAAAAATTAATTTCAAGAAAAAAAATTGATTTTAAAGAAACATTATTTTATAAACTGCAATGTCAAGCGCCCTGGAAAGGGGTAGCTGAATAGACAGGGAGACGGGGGAATATTTAAGAAGGGGAAGAGTAAGCAACATTGATATTTGTTTCATGCTTGATTAAACATAAAAATAAAGTATTGCGTCATTATTATTCTGAAAACGACTTACCTAAAGCAAAGATTACCCCGAAACAAAACACTCAACACTCAACTGCTGCCGCTGCTGTTTGCTGTTCCTGTTTCTCTCTTAGCTGTCTGCTTTACACCATGTACTGATCCTTCATAAATCTCGAGCAGTCCTTTGTTTCCAGTTAGATATATGCTTAACTTAATCACTTGCTTTTATATCCCTCTACTGCTCGCCTCCTTCCAAATAAACTGCAATAAGACAACATCAATTCAGACCCCCCCAAGAAAAAGAAAAAAAACAGTGCATAGAAAGAAATGCCTATAAGACAAGCAAGGCCACATAAAATTGTCCCTCGAGAACTTACAACAGCACGATCCGACATCTTTTCAGGACTAAACTGAGTGGGTTGAGTCTAAATCATTAAAAGAGCTAGGAACTTACATAGAGTAAAGCTATGCTCTGTTTGGTTGCTAAGAAAGCTTAAAAAGAAATACCAAGAAAAGAAAAGGGACGAATTGAAACTTGCAAACGTACTATGGAACTACTTGCCCAGAATATGCGAATCAAAAATCTTTAAAACAAAGTGAGAAACTAAAAAATATGCTATGTTTAGAAGGTGAGAGAGGGGAGCAGAAAAAAAGATATGAAAACTGTTAACTTCATCAACTTAATTCATGTCTCATAAGAACTGATTTTCTGTTTGTGTGTGCGTGTGGTGGGGGGGAGTTAGATACAGCTCCGAGTTGCAAAAAAACCAGAGTAAAATGAGACCAAATGGCAGCAGAGAACAGCATTCTTTTTAGCCCACCTTGAATCTTCCTTTCCCTTTTAAACAGATTGTAAGACGATACCATAAAATCTTCTAACAAATCTTCATGTAATCAATTTTCTCTTCACTGCCGCAACCAGAATCCCTTTAATTTCGCTGATAACTTAGAGCGACTCGAGAAGAAAGAAACAAAGAAAAGAACTCTTTGCTTGCTATGTATAGCTTGCTAGGAGGGTGAGATGAAAATAAAAAAGGCCTCCACCGATACAAAATGCAGCGATATATCAGCAAGATGTATCGGATTCGGAGCTTCCCTCCCGAGTTCAGTACGTTTTCAACGATTCTTCTGCAAGTATTTAAAGTGAGAAACTTACAGACAAGGGAAAGGAACAATTGGGGATCCTCGTATTTATATAGCAGAGAGAGGGACTTGACGTCGTCGATCTCGGACGTTACTTAACGGCTAAAGTGTGTCCACGCAGGATAATGGGTTGCTTTTGTGTCGACGACCACAAAAAATTAAATTAAACTTGTAGACCATCACAGTGCCAATTCTATTAATTAATTAATTAATTTTTATATCAAGGTTCAAATCCTGTCAGATACCGGGAAAAAAAAAATTATCATTTGACTAACAAAAATAACTGTTTCTTTTTACAATTTAATTCTTTAAAAAAATATATAAATTTTTTTATTTTTTGTTGTATTGTAGACTATTTTAATAGCTAATATCAAAAATTATTTTAAAGAAATATATTTTCATGCTTTTAAAAAAATATATTTTAATATATTTTCATCCAAAACACACTTTAAAAATAACCACCATTATTTGAAATTATCTAATTTAATAGTGAAGATGCTATCTATGAATATAATTTCAATATATATGGTAAAAGAGTATGCTAAAAATATAGTAATGCGATTGTTTTATGTAGATCATATGATTATAATTGATGAACTCCATTGAAGATTATAGGCAGTCCAAATGATGAATAAGATGGTTTCTTGTGATTTATTTATTTTATTTGGAGGAGATGGTTCCATGAGAAGCCCAGAAATGCTTGGTTGAATAAATAAATAAATAAATATTATATATATATATATATATATATAGGAAAGAAAAAAAAAGGGAGGGG